GATGTCGAGGTGGAGGGAGGGTTGCGATAGCTGGGGGCCAATGGAGGATTGGGTGGAAATCACCACAGTGAAAATGGCAGTGGAGTGAAAGAGGGGCCTGATTGCATCGGGACAGCATGTGAGAGTGAGCAGCGTGCTCAGCCCAATCAGAACGGCAGAAGAAAAAGTGCTCTTATCAGCCAGTAATGGCCCACTTGACAATCACGCAGACACAAAACTGCTCTATTTAACACTGATTGCAAAAACTACTGCCACCCCCTACCCTTCCACCCTCCTTCACAATCACATGACTCCCCAAGATCTCCCTTATGCCTCCCAGCTTACAGCTAAGACCCTTTTCTGAATGGAATTTATAATCACCCTTCTCCTGTTTCTGCTAATTGTTATTTTAAGACTTAATGTTGTGTATTAGGCATTTAATACTGGTGAAATGTCTGCCTCTGTCACTGTGTCTTCTCTGAGCACTGAGCACATCCATCTCAGTTCCCCCAGCCTGACAGGTAGTGAGAGTTTAAACAGGTATCTTTCTGCCCCACCTGTTCATCCTTCGCTCATGGCTTATTGTGAGGCGGGTGGTGCACATTTGTGTATTAATGAAGCTCTGATCATTAATGAAATACAATCTATCCCTGTTTCAGTTTTACTCTCTACTTTAATAACATTGTTTAAAATAAAACATTTAGGATTTAAAATGTTGTAGGACTTTTCACAGGCATTGAAGATTCAAATTTACTATTCACAGAGTGCAAAGGTTTGTGTGCATTTTGATTTGGCAAAAATATTATAGCTTCAGCCTAAGTTTACTGTGCACCTTGTCATGAATACTTACAGTAGTGGTAATAGTAGTATGAATATCTGTCCCTGGTGTCTGACCCAAAATATCCTTGTGCATTCTGGTGTAAGTAAACATCAGTGTTTTCTCACATTGTGTGTATTGTTACTTTGCCTATTATCCTTTATGAGAATAATACTGATTGTGACAGTTAATTTGTTCATGTCCAACTTTATAAATGCATCTGTGACATTTCTGTCACACACAGACATACTTTTGTGTGTGTGTGTGTGTGTGTGTGTGTGTGTGTGTGTGTGTTCTATACTTTTTCTGTTTCTAATCTTTTCTCCTTGTCCTTTTGGTTGTTCAGCCAGGTCGCCTCCAACATTCACAGTCATGACCTGGCTTCCTGGTGCGAAACAAGAGGATAAGAGTGCATGTGGTGCAGAGATGCTGGTGAGAGTAAACAGGCAACAACTGCACCTAGTGGTCTCTGGGTGGCGTCCAGCTCGAGTTCATCATGCAAAGCCAAAAGAGAACAAAGAAACTGGGGGAGAAGTAATAACATAATTATGACAGAATACATTTAATTCTTACTTAATCTATTTTATTTGCCTGTAATTTGTTTGTACTCTATATACAGTGCAAAACAAGCATGGGTTTAGAAGCAGCTTGTAAACTTGAAGCAGGGTGGCATTAACAGATTTGCCTCTCTCATATTACTGTTATTCATGTTAGCACAACAGTCAGCTATACTGCTGTTAACTTAGTGTTTACTCCATGCTGCCATTTAGTTACACTTTGATGAATCACAGCCAAAATCAGTGTTGATTGTCAAGTTCAACAAAAATACATGATTTCTTCTTGGGGACACTAGACATTTATCAAGTATTTGTGTACTCTGTGTGTAGCGTCATGTTGGCACACATTTCACAGTGAGCTGTGCCTAATTCCCCCGTGTTTCATTTTTTCTTGACACATACAAATACACAGAAGAAGAATACAGTCACTTACCGTATGCTTACAGTGTCATGTAATTATTGTCTATATTGTACATGGCTTAGGCGAAAGTGAATTTTCAGAGGCTTTCACACATGGACAGATGTAAGAATCGGGTTGCGTGCTGTAAATCTCTGCTTTGCTTTTATTTTTGTTTACAAATGCATAAATAATCATTCAAAATGCAGCAAACATCTGTTTGTTGCACATAATCTGCCTAAAGTGCATAAAAAGGTATGTTTTAGGAGATTTTGGATTAAGTCACATGCTGTTGGATTTTGGTTTGTGCTATAATTTTGAATGTGCATACACTCCGTTTATGTTGGATAAACACTAATATTGGCTACTATGGAGATCTGTGATATATCTCAGTTGTATTAATAGTTTACAGTTATTTGAAAAATAATCATGTTATTTACAGTAGTGGGCTGTTAACTTTAGGAGAACTTGTGGCAAAGCGCTGACAGTCTTTAGGCCAGAATTACACATTTGCATGCTAAAACAATTAAACCACCTGAGACATAGGACAGAGTAAAGACCATGGGTTCAACCTCCTGTGACCTGTTTTATTTTGAAGTTTTCTTCAGAGACATCGACTCCCTGCCAATTACACAGAAAATATTGTGCCAAGTCTAACGTCTGATCTTCTGTTTCACATTATGTTACATTAGAAAATGATCTAAATGTTGCACCGGCTGTATCTGTTGTTGGATAACAAAACACAGAACAAATCATCTCCTGGGCTTCATGGTATCTTGAGACAGAAACATGGCTCCTCCCACTGGTCACTACTGGTACTGACAAAAAAAATTCAAGTGGAACCCAGGCCAAAAGATGTACAGGCCATGTCTGATACTTTGTGTGATATTTCAGCACAATCTGAAGGTGCATAGATACTGGAAGACAGACAGCAGTGAGTACAGGCACCGCAGAAGTCTGACCAAACATACCACTCACCTCTGCACAGAGTCTGTTACTCCACAAGAGGGCCACAGAGGACCTGCAGCTTCAACATGTCCCATTCAACTGTGAATCTATTTTCTGAAATGAGAGATGTGAATTTTCACACTGACTCAGTGATGTTCTGATTGTGCAGTGTGGACAATAGCTCAAGGGGCATCCAAAAACAGCACTTTAAGAACCTCAAATAAGTACATTTAGAGGTACTTACTCACCTGTTTCCATTTTATGCTACTTCAATACATTTCAGATGGAAATATTGTACTTTTTTATATCACCATTGTCTAAAATCTTACTTTTCTGATTAAAATTTTACATTCAAAACATTGGGTATGAAAACCATTATAATATTATACTAATAATATACAGCAAGAGTTTTTTTTAGCATTACAAGTACCGTACTTCTTCTATGCCTGTATTTAACTAGCCTACAGTTTGCTTATGTACTCATACTTAGTCAAGATTTTAAATGCAGAACATTTACTTTTAATGTAGTACAGTGGCAAGAAAAAGTATGTGAACCTCATGGAATTTCATGGTTTTCTGCATTAATTTGTCATAAAATTTGATCTGATCTTCATCTAAGTCTTGTATTAACTATTATTGACAAATATAATGTGCCTATAATAACACAAAAAAAATTCTGATCCTTGATGTCTTTATGAAACACACTCATTCAACATTCAAAATGGTAGTGAAAAAAGTAAGTGAATTCCTGGAATTAATAACTGGTTGACACAATGTGAGGCATTCTCACATTATACTGAAGAATTTTTGGATGTACTTAGGAATTCATCTTCCCCTTAATGACTGCAAGCTGGCCAGGCCCTGATGCAGCAAAGCAGGCCCAAATCATGATGTTTCCTCCACCATACTTTACGGTTGGGATGATGTTTTCATGATGATATCCAGTGCTCCTTTTACCCCAGATGTAGTGCTGCATGTTCTTTCCAAATAGTTCAATCTTCATCAGTCCACAAAACAATTTTCCTGTAACACTGTGGAGTGTCAATGTGCTCTTCCACAAACCTCAGGTGCGCATTAATGTTCTTTTTACTAAGCAGCGGCTTTCTTCGTGGTGTCCTGCCTGTTCAGTGTTTTACGTACTGTAGACTCATGAACATAAATGTTATCCAGTTCCAATGACGCCTCCAAATCTTTGGCTGTCACTTGAGGTTGTTTCTTTAACTCATTGATGAGTCTTCGTTGTGCTCTTGGAGTCACTTTGACTGGGCGCCCACTTCTTGGTAGAGTAGCCACAGTCCCAAAGTGTCTCCATTTGTAGATCGTTTGCCTAACTGTAGACTGGTGAATTTCTAAAGTCTTTGAACTCACTTTATAACCCTTTCTAGCTTTATGTAAATCAACAATTCTTGATCGTAGATCTTCTGAAAGCTCTTTTTGGCGAGGCCTGGCTCACATAAGCGTCTTCTTCTTGTGTAGAGCAAACTCAAAATGTTAGACTGGTTTTTATCAAAGTAGCTCTAGT